CAGTGAAATCTGGGAATGTCTATAAACAGGGATGCCTGTATCCCTTGAGAGGGGAGGGGGTGGATGTAGAGGTGAAGGTAGGAGGGAGTTTTCCAGACTCCCTTGGAAGAAGAATAAGCTCTATAATGGCACAGTGGGGTGCAGGGTTGGTAGGAGATGCACTCCAGGGTCTTGGAGATTTACTCGGCTCCTGGGTTTGCTTGTTCCCCTTCTTTGGTTCCTGTGGGTAAAAGGCAGCTGCCAAAATTTTGAATGGATTTTTATTGCATAAAGGTAATGATAAGCTTTTTACAGATGTTTTGTTATTTGTAATTGCATGTGAAAACTTTCTTACCGTCTTCAAACCTTTCCATTCTTGATTCCCAGAGCAACTCATCAACTTTGGTGAGAAAGAAATCTAATGATAATGGTTGATTTGGGTTGTTTGGGAATGCAGCATCTCCAACTCATAGCCGTCATAGGAATCTTAAACACCTGGTGCAACATGATCCACTTTTTAAATGTACAAACCTCTTGAACATCTTTAGCCTTTCACTGAAAAATCTTCTACATGATTCATATTTATAATCAAAACTTTTTACTTTCATCTTTCTCAGAAAATGGAAGAGGTGGCATCAGTTCTGAGAAGACTATTTACTGTGAAGCAGAGACAGATACCAGGAAACACAACCATGGCCTGAAATGCTTCTACACTCCAAAGCCAAGTCCAAAACACAACACAACACCTCCTGGCACCACAGGTGAGGAAATTCAAGGTTAATCTCTTCTTGTTTGTTTGCCTTTTGCTTTGAGAGGGTTTTTTCCAGACAGTTTGATGTGAACAGAGTTCTGCATGGGTGGGGAGATGTCCTGTACATTCATAACTTGAATCCACGCATGCTGCAGCCATCCAGGCTCAGAGACTTTGCCTTGGCAAATGGACAGGCCCAGTCCTGCACAGAGATGTCCACGGGCCCAGTTTCCTGTAATTATCTAGTGACAGGCACAGGGATGCTGAGGGAAGGGGGCACATGATGGGTGTGCAACAAGTTCCCAAGAATTGACATTGTCTGTAAGTGCTAAATAAGACTTTGCCTCCAGACTAAGAGGACATTTGTCAACTAAAGATTTGAATTTATATCTTCAAATTTCTTTCATGGTAGAAACCCCTGTCATCTTCCTTAGGTCATGGACAAAAGGATTTTTAAAAACCATTCAAAATAGATTTGCTTATTGGAACACTTCATCAAGAATGGGTCTCACGCCACTTCTTGGTTGTTTCAGATGAGATTGATGTTCAAAGGTATCTGTAGTGATGAGGTGACAAGAACTTGCTTTGCATGTTGCTAAAGTGAGCATTATGCCAGGTACCTTCTGTAAGATATGATGAGCCAGAGGCTCTTTGTTCCCTCATTCACCTGTTCCTTCTCTTTATCAGATGGAGCCAGTTCCTTTGTGTGGTGCTTGAGAGGCAGTTCATGGCTTGGCACTCCAGCTTGCTTCACTTGGATGCTCTGTTTTCTTCTACTCTACAGGTAATCCTGAAGGTCTCAGCAGCAACACGAACAGCAATGGATGGTTGATAGGCATCTTTGTTGCATTTAGTGTTGTCACAGGATGTGGCATCCTGTATCACTGCTTGTGGCGGCGTGGCCAAGGTATAGTCTGACAAATTGTGTGCTGCCTGTGTCCCCCACACCTAGAAATGGAAAAAGCACAAAGGGTTTTTCTCCTGGATCTCTACTCCATTCAGTTCATGCTTCATGATCTTCACTGCGCTGACAGCTGGAATGAACTCTCCTCCCATGGCTGCTGTGACACTGCCCATGCAGTGGCTTTGTTATGAAAAATAAGCACAGAAGGCATTTTCTCTCTGCTTCCTCCTGAAACAAGGGGAAAGCACTGGCAGGACCGAGAAATGACAGGGCTCAGCCTTCCCTCCATGGGATCCTGTTCCTTGGAGCAGTCCCAGACTGCAGCATTGCTGTGCAGCTTCCCAGGCAGTGAGAGATGTGTCCCAGCCAGGACACTGATGCACATCCAGGCATGGGCTGACAGGGCCTTCAGGACAGTGGTTCCCTCTCTCAGCCCTGCCCAATGCAGAGTCAGCTTTTATTTAATAACGAGTATATCCCTAAATGCGTCCAGGAGGGAAATTTGTTTTGCAAACCAGTATGCATGGAGAGAGGTGGATGGGCTCTGTGGAGTCTGGTACAGACACTTCTTGAGCTGCCATTCAGCTTTCCCCCTCCACCCTGTGTCCATGGTCTCCAGTGTTTTTGGCACCTTGTGTATGCCCGAGGCTGGGACTCCTCTCATATCCTGAACTGGTCCATCCCCTAGAAACTGATGCTGGTTGTTTCCTTCTGAGAGTGAAAGGATTACATTTCCAAGTCTGAATTTGCTTCAAGAGGAGTTGCACAAGTGCAACAAAGGCACACAAAACCAGTGTCACTGTTGTTGTCACATCAGTAGATGAATGGATATATTGGTGTGAGGGGTAAGAAATTTACCAGTAATGACT